ACTTTCAGCTTTCCTAGTGTACTATGATTGGTCAGAGGTGAAAATTCTTGGTTTTAGAAGTTTTTTCTGAGCATGTGCAGTTTGTGGGGTGCATACCATCCTACACATGGATGTAGACTAAAGCCACCATTATATTACTTTTATTATTAGCTTTATTTTTCAAAGGTACTACTTAGCCAGAAAGCCGGTTATTGCAAGTTAAAGTACTAAAAAGCCCACTGTTCTTAATATTCATTCATTTTTATCGAATAAATACTTTCTATAGAGTTGCTATAGGCCTTTCAATAATAAATGATTAAACATGCAAGTAAAGGAAAGTTTGGTCCATATACAGGAAAAAAAAGCAATGAAAAGAAATTATCCTTAAGAAAGTCTACACATTGGACTTACTACACAAATATCTATTTTTATTTGCTTTTAATTTCATTGGAAAGTTAAGCTGGTTTTGGCTATTTTCATGTCATTTTAGCCATGCCTTTTTAGCTCAATATAATGTTTTTGCTAGTCATTTATTTTGTTTCTTATGTAACTATTTTTATTTTGAGAATGGCATCTTTACTGGTTGATGATGGTATGAATTTTTGTTTGTTCAGTTTATAAGAAGTGACTGTAGGGGCCAGGAGTGTAGCTCAGCAGTGCAGTGTATGCCTGGAAAGCACAAATCCATGAGTTCCATTCCTGGTACCAAAACCAACCAACCAAACAAACAAACAAAAAAGAAATGACTTTAACTTCTGCTTTGATCTGATAGTTTTTCAGTTGATTTTCTTTTTCCTTTCCAATATATTGTCACACAATCTCTTTATAGTGACATTTTCATCTTTCCCCTTAAATTATTTATGCCATTCATTCCTCTTCTCTTTCTTTTTTTAGTTTTGGGGATTAAACCTGATTTTTTTTTTCTTATTGTGATGGATCTGATCTGTTTGATGTTCTACTGTGAAGTACAATGTTTGGTGCAGGTTCTCTTGCAGGGGTTGGCAAAATTTTCTTTTTTGTTTCCATTCATTGCTAAATGAATGTTGAATTTTATTGATATTATTTCTGAGTGTTTGAGATAATCATGTAGATTTTTGTTAATCTTTTTTATTTATTTACTTTTTTGATTTGGAGTGTCACTGTGTCTCTCACCCAGGCTGGTGCTGTTCTTGTGAGTTCACATGATCCTCCCACCTCAACCTTAGTAGTATCTGGCAATGCAGGGGTAAGCTACCATGCCTAGATCTTAATTTATAATCTCAAAAATTTGTAACGAATTATCTATATAGTCTGGGAACACTTCCTTTGGTCAAGATGTATCATATCTAGATAAATGTCTTGATTTTCTTTGCATATATTTTCTTTGGGATTTATGCATTTATGTTTACAAAAAGATGTAAGCTGTAGGTATCTATATTAAGGTATTTTATATCCTTGGCATTTTAATTATATTACCTTTACTAAATATATTGAGAAAAATTTAAAAACTACTTTTATTATGAAATATTTCCAATGAAAAACAAGTAGTCATCAGTCAAATTTTTCAAAATTAAATATTTTATCATATTCACTTCATATTGCTTAAATAAGTAGAAAGTTACAAGCAAAGTAGAAACCTCCTTTGTACTACTTCACAATAATTCCTTCAACAAAAATGTGAACAGTAAGCATACTGAGGAGATGTGAATTTGGTGCTTATCACACTTACATTTTTATACTTTAATGATATATTTATAAACACAGAACTTTGCAAACAATTATTGGTGGGATTTCACATTTAGTGTCTAGTTAGTATAATTATTATAGGTGAAGTCTCTGGAACCAGGTGGTCTTGGCTTGAAGTTTCTAACTATAGTAGTAGATATGTGTATTTCTGTTGTCAATTCTGTTAGTTTTTGTTTTCTTTTGTTGTTAGTGCATACTGTTACATCTTTGGAGTTACTTCATCCTTTTATTATTATGAAATAACTGTCTGCCTATTTCTACTGTCTCTTGTTTTGAGGTCAGCTGTGTCTGATATTAACATAACCACTCCATTGACAACATTGTCCTCTCGGTGACAATGAATTTTTCACTGTGCCCTTGATGAAAAGTTGTTTCACTTTGATTTTTGAAAAACATTTTTGCTAAACAAAGGGTTTTGTGTTAACAGTTACTTTCTGTCTGTACTAGCACCTTTGAATACACCTTGCTTCTTTGTCTCGTATAGTTCTGACAAGAAATCTGTGGTATTAGCCTATTGTAATTAGTCTTCGATAATTTTTTTCTCTATACTTAGCATTTCTTTTGTTTCTTTGGATACTTCTGACATTTTCCTTTATTTTTGGCTTTTCTTATTTTGTTTCTAATGTACCTGGTGCTGTGTTTGTGTGCTTCTGCTTGTTGTTTACTAAGCTTCTTATATAGGGGGTTTAGAGTTGTCATGAAATTTGGAAAAGTTTTGACAAATTTTGTGCAAATATTTTCTGATCCTAACAACCCTTTTCTGAGGCTCCAATTAAATATATGTTAGACTGAGTATTTTTTCATTTTATTTCAATTTTATTTCTGTATTTCGTCTTGCATGGTTTCTGCAATGTCTATATGTTAACTAACATTTTCTTCTTCCCCGTCTTCTCTGTCATTAAGGCCAATCAGTGAGGTTTTTATTTCAAATAATGTGTGATTGACCTGTACACATCCGAATGATTCTGTTTTTTTAAATTTTTACATCTGTACCTTTTTATTTTACTTTGAACATTTGTAATATTTATATTAGAAATTTAAAGCCCTTATATCCTAATTCCAATATCTTTGTCATTAGTGGGTAAATTTCTGCTGATTTCATCTGGTTATATATTACACATTATGCTTTTATATTCAGCTAGTAACTTGGGATGCTAGACATTGTAGAGTTTACACTTTAAACTTTTTTTATATATCCTTTTATTGGTACATTTTAGATCTATAATATAATGGCATTCATCATTGGAGATATGCACCTTTACATACTCTCTTGGTTCTTAATTTTCCCCCTTCCCCTGGCCTCCTTTCAACCCCTCCATCCCTCCCTATTTACAAAGACTTTGTTTCCTTTTTTTTCCATTTTCTCATATTAATTCCATTCCCTTCTTTCCTTTCCCCTACCCTTCCCACTTCCCCTTCCCCTTTGCCCCTTTTCTTCCTATTTTACGTTATCTATTATACCTTTTAGTCCTTATTTACACTTTCAGTTTCTCACACTAGAGAAACTATTCGGTATTTACACATGTGTGCCCTATTTATTTCACTTAAGAGTATCGCTTCAATGTGCATCCATTTAGCAATAAATGTCTCTAATTTCTCATTTTTGATGGCTGAGTAGTACTCCATTTTATAAAAAAACCACATTTTCTTTATCCAGTCTCCAGTTGATGGGCATTTGGGCTGTTTCCAAGTTTTATCTATTACAAACTTACACTTGAAACATTATCAAGGTTCATCCTAAAAGGCAGCCAACTTGTAAAGCAGCTTGATCTTTCCAAAAATTATTTTAAAGTGTTTGAAGTCCAGAGAACCCTTTACTCTAGGAGTAAATTTAGCAGTACTACTGTGGTCCTTCTGGGGATTATAATGAAAGTAGTATGTATTCAGCCTGTCTGGTGGGAGAGCTAATGATTCCAAGTCTTGTATGAGCTCTGGGAATTGTGGCTTATAGCTCCTTGGTAATTCTTTTCCTCCCTCTTACTCTTTCTTTATCTAGCCACATGGATTTCCCCATCACATGACCAGGTTGGTACTTGGCTAAAGACTCAAGCACCCTGTGCAGATTTCTGAGGCTCTTCCTGTATATAGTACATCTCTAGACTGTGTCTTATAAGTTCTAGAATCTTTGTTTTACTATTTGATTTCTCTCTTCAACTTTGTGAAATACCTGGGCTCTGTTTGGTTTTCCCTTTTGTATTATGGTCTGGAAATCATGTCAGGCAGAAGAAATATGAAGGTAACTGTAGCTTTTACTTTGTTTACTTTGATTATCTCTGTCATCATAGTCCTGCACTGCCTGTTGTCCAATCCTAAAAGAGTTTAAGTTTTGTTCAATTTTATAGTTATTTTATCAAGAGGGTAGAAATACAAACTAAAGGCCTGAGCTGGATTCTTTTAACAAAGAAAAATGTTTTTAAAGCAGGTTTTTAAGCACAACAGGCATTCAAATTTTGCTGTTGACATTACTAAAAGACTAGAGGAAAAGGGACTTAAAAAGTGATATAGTTGAATGCCCACTTTAAGGTTGATAAAACTGAGGTGGGGGAAAATAAAATAACTTGACTGTTGCCTGATCTATGGATTTATAGTTTGGAGAGAAGCAGGGTCTCTTTATTCCTGGCTTGTTGTTAATCATTGTAATGTGCTGTCTCCTTACCATCTCAAATGAATAGAGTATATCAGTGCAACTGGCATTTGTAAAAATAAGAACCACACTAGAAGTAATATCCTATGAAGTTTTAATGACATACATATTCTTTTTTATTCTGGATTAGACTGAATTTTTGTTATTAACTTTCTTGTGCAGTGTTTTGTAGTATCTGATTTAATGGCAATGTTTGATTTGTCTTATTAAATTTAATAATATATTTGTAGAGATGAACAATTTAAAAGGCCATGGAACTGAAAGAAGGTAAAAATGTTTTTTCTTTGTAAAATTTTTATTTTAATGTAATACAAGCAGATATTAATAAAAAAGTATAAAAACAGTTATGAAAATAATTTTTCATCATAAAAATAGAGTATAACAATGGTAAATGCACTGTATATTATGATCTTAAAAGAATATATTTTCAATTGCTGTCTCTCAGCTAATTTCCTAATCATACTATACCTTTTAAAAAATATTTTTAATGCACCTTTTTTGTGTACTTCTTATTACTGCATGTTATTGAGTAGTTTATATTTCTATTATATATTTTTCATTTACTGATTAATTGATAAATTTTACTATAGTAAATAATACATCTCAATGATTTCTAAATTGGCATCATTTTATTTCTCTCTCTCTCTTCAAGGATATATCTTTAATGGGAAAAATATATGTCAAAATACCTCAGATGCAAGCAGAAACACCAAAGATGAAAGCAGAGCAAGTGTCACAGTTGAATGTTGGGGAATCTAAAATGGTAAAGTCTTCAATAAAAATCCTCCTTGCCTATGTTAAAGTGGTACTCTGTTTCCTGTTGCTTGAATGGTTATATAAAGAGTTTAAATTTTTTCCTCTAATTTATTTTAGACATGTGTTTAACTGTAAGTGCACCTAATCCAACACACTGTTGGGAATGCTGGCTATTTTGGTTCACTGTGGCTGTCACAGACCTGAGCTAAGGTTCAAAACTTTTCAGAAGGAAAAGATTTTAACAGCTCTTCTAGTTTAGAAATATTTAGATCTGGTCAGTAGCTCAAGAGTTAATTAAAAATTATTAGCTTTTGTGAAAGCCACACTTTAATCTGTGTTTGGTTAAGAGTTATTAGAAGCATTGAAGAAGAGGAAAAACTTTTGTTGAGAAACATGGACAATTGATGACAGAAGTTTGTTGCAGAAACAGAGCTTCCTTTTGGTCCATAGTTGGCAAAAGTAATTGTGGAGTTCAAGGCAATCTGGACAGTATTCTCTGTGAAATGGGAAGTATTTACCTGTGTATAGAAATTCACATTTACATAAAAACATGGTATTATGATCAGTTCCTTTACATAGGATTCATAAAATGATATCATTAAATACAGAGCTTGCTCCTTTAGTCTTTAAAAAGAGGGCCCTATCTACGTAAATACCAAGCCCTCCCTTCACTTTTAGGATAACAGATCATGTTCAGAAACTATATGGAATCTCCTCTTGGAGATTCTGTTACAGCCATGGGTCCTATGATGTTAGTTACCACAAATGGTAGCACTACAGGAGTTTGAGGTGCTTCTGGATGAGACTGTGTTTTTTTCCCCTTTGTATTCTCATCACCTGAGTTTCCTCACCTAGTAGCTACTTGGCCATATTCTGTGGATAAGTCCATTGTGAAGCCTCACCACACACACTGTGGTTTTAAGATTGATCTCTAGCATGCCTCCAGGTGACACTGTTTACATATCCTCTAGTAGATATAGTAAAGTAAAAATGAAAGACCAATTAGGATTAACAAAATAGAAACTTTCATTAGTAGCTAAAGGTGACTTAATGTCATTTACTACATTTATGTAAAGAGAAAGGAAACTGAAAAAGGCTATCAGGTGCCAAGCTTAAACATAATCTTGATTATCTAAAATTAAGATTTAAACAAGGATATCAATTTCTTTGTAATTCTGTGGAACTATCCACTTAGCATTGACATTTACAAGCAATTGCTGAACCTCTCCTGGCTACTGGCTTTTTGGGAAGCTCATCTCTTTTTGAGATGGAAAATATTCCTTTTTATTTCATTGGTTTTTTTTCATTAAATTTATTGGTACATTTTAGTTATTCAGTAAAGTTACATTCATCATTGGGAATTTGTAACTTTAGGTGATAGATCTTGGTTCTTATTTTTTCCCCATTCCTCTGCCCTCCCTTCAACCCCTCCACCCCTCCCTATTTACTAAGATTTTGTTTCCATTTTTTCCTTTTCTCATAGTTTTTCCTTTCCCTTCTCCCTACCGCTCCCACTTCCACTTCCCCTTTAGAACTTTTCTTCCTATTTCACATTATCAATTAAACATTTTGATCCTTATTTACACTTTCAGTTTCTCACAAAAGAGAAACTATTCAGTATTTATACATGTGTGTCCTATTTATTTCACTTAAGAGCATGGCCTCAATGTGCATCCATTTAGCTGTAAATGTCTCTAGTTTCTGGTTCTTTATGGCTGAGTAGTACTCCATTTTATAAAAAACCCCACATTTTCTTTATCTGGTCTCCAGTTTCATGGGCAATAGGGCCATTTCCAAGTTTTAGCTGTTACAAACTGTGCTTCTAAAAACATGGGTGTGCATATATCTCTGCGGTATTATTCTTTTAATTCTTTTGAGAAGATACCCACCAGGGGAATAGCTGGGTCAAATGGGACCTCTAATCCTAATTCATTGAGGTATCTCCATACTGATTTCCACAGTGGTTGCACCAGTCTACATTCCCACTAACAATGAGGAAGGGTTCCTTTCTCCCCACACCCCCACCAGGATTTGTTATTGGTTGATTTCTTGATAGCAACCATTCTTTCTGGGGTGAGGTGGAATCCTAGTGTTGTTTTCATCTGCATCTCTTCAATGACCAGTGATGTCGAGCATTTTTTCATATGTTTATTTGCTGCTTTTACTTCTTTGTCTGAGAAATGTCTGTTTATTTCAGATGCCCTTTTTTGAATTGGGTCTTTAAATTTGGGGGGTCTGATTTTTTAAAGTTCTTTATATATTTTAGATAGCAATCCTTTGAGGAACAGCTGGTAAAATTTTTTCCCACATTGTGGATTGTCTTTTAGCTCTGTTGATGGTTTCTCTTGGAGTGCAGAAGCTTTTTTTTTCCCCTATAAGTTTATTGGTACATTTTAGGTATAAAACACAGTTGCATACATCATTGGCACCTTGTACCTTAACATGATGTATCTTGGTTCTTATTTTTTTCCCCTTCCCCTCCCCTCCCTTCACCCCCTCCAACCCTTCCCTATTTGCAGAGATTTTGTTTCCATTTTTTTCTTTTCTCATATTTATTCTTTTCTCTTCTTTCCTTTCCCCTACCTCTCCCACTTCCCCTACTCCTTTAGACCTTTTCTTCCTATTACACAATATCAATTATACATTTTAAAAATTATAATATCAAGATCTAGGAGATATTACCACAGATTTTACAGAATTTAAAAGGGTATAGAAAACACATTACAAAAATCTTTTTTGAAATAAATTTGACAACTTCTAAGAAGTACTTTGGAAGACAAATTAATGAAACTGACTCTGGAGGAAATATAAAATTTGAATAGCACCTATTAAAGAATGTTCTTTAATATGTTCTATCTTGAAAACCTACCTATGTGACACCAGCAGGCTCATATACATTTTAACTGATAAATTATATCAAACATTTAAAGCAGAGGAAAGAAGGAACACTTCTCCCCTCATTTTAGGAAATCAACATTGTGCTAATACTAAAACTGGGTAAAGATAATAGAAGAAAATGTATCAACATAGATAAAAATTTGTTTAACAAAACAAACTATTAGAAGTCAGATCTGGCAGTATGTAGAAAGTGGTTTTATTATAGGGATGGCAGTGTTGGTTCAGCATTGGAAGATCCACCCCCATAAATTATCATTTTAACAGAGGAAAGGAAAAAGCCATATGATCCTGTCAGTAGTTGCAGAAAAAGTATTGGACTAAATTCTACAGCTGTTCATGGTAAAAACTATCAGGAGACTAGAAGTAGAACAGAACCTTCTCAACAGATAAGCCATGTACTCCATGCATCCAGCAAAAACGCCTTATATGAATGGAGAAGATACAATGCTTTCTCCCTAAGGTGAGGAACAAGGACAGATATAACTGCTCTTCATCTATCCATTAAACTTTGAAACATAGGCCCAAACCAAAATAGTCTGGCAATGAAATGACACAATTAGGATAGGATTGACAAGGTAGAAGTAAAATCTTTATATGTAGAAGAAATGATCATTTACAGAGAAAATACTAAGAAATCTCTAGGAGCCCCTAGAACTTGTATTTGGATTTAGCAGTATTAGAAAACACAAGGTATATATAAAAATTAAGGTCTGTACATACTTGCTATAAATGAAGAATTGGATATTGAAATTTAGAAGTTATGTAGGAGTACAAAGGACCTAGAAAAGTAAAAAAAAACCAAAGTGTTGGAAGACATTTATTACATCATTTTAAGGCTTCCTCTAAAGCTACAGTAATCTAGGCAGTGTTGGTGTAAGGAAAGACATATAGATCAATGGAATGAAACAGAGAATCTAGAAAGAGAACCACACATATATGGTTCACTGAGATTTGAAAGATTATTTAACATTAACATCTTATAGAACATAAACTCAATTCAAGAGCAGAAGAAAAGATAGTGTTTTCAGCAAGTGGTACTAGAACACCTGGTATCCGTATGTAAAAAATTAACCTCAACACTTTATTTTCATACATAAAAAACTTGAAAGGATCTATGAATCTAAATATGAAAGACTAAAACTACAAAACTTTAAGAAAAAATTATAAGGGAAAATGTTCATGAATTTAGGGTAGGCAAGAATTTCCTAGGATACAAAACATGATGGATACAAGAAATAAATTGATAAATGAGATTCCATCAAAATTTAGAACTTTAAATGACATCATTAAGAAAATGAAAAGTAGTCCTTAAACAGACCATATTTATAATACATATAACCTAAGACCAGAACATCTGAAGAACTCGTCTAGCTCATTAATAGACAACCCAATTAAAAGATAGACACAGGAAGATGATCAATAGCTGGTACAGCACAAGGAAAGGTGTGCAACACTAGAATCAGAAAAATACTAATCAGTACAATAACAAGATCATATTATACACTCATTAGGGAGATCAAGTTAAAAGTTTTACAAGAACAAATGTCAGCTTAGGTGTGAACCAGTTAGAACTGTCTAATACTACTAATGTGAATGTAAAATGATAAAACCATTTTGGAAAACAATATAGAAATTTCTTGTATTACTGTTAAGAACCAACAGTTCTGTTCTTAAGTTTTTACTTAAGAGGAATGAAAACACATGTTCACAGTAGATTTGTACATACACGTTGACTATTCCTTATCTGAAATTCTTGGGACCAGAGTGTTTCAGATTTTCATTTGAAATCCACTTGATCTGCAAAGAGGATAGCTACTCCTGCTTTTTTTCAGGTTCTTGTGACACGGAGTATTGTTTTCCATCCTTTGACTTTCAGTCTATGAGTTTCTTTTTGAATTAAATGTGTTTCTTGTATGCAGCATATTGTTGGATCTTGCTTCTTGACCCATTCTTCCAGTCTATTTCTTTTGATTGGTGAATTGAGACCATTAACATTGATG